CATTCGTTCCCTGGGTGCTTGTGCATCCACGGGACTCCCTGCAGCATACTCTCCACAGCTTTATAGGACGTATTACTTCTCATCTCCCCACCCCTTCGCTGCTCTCTCTCTCTCTCTCCCCTCCGGTACGCGGCAACAGTAAGACATAGTGTGGAGTTGCATTAGGTAAACGCTGTGGATGGCTGGTTCTGCTCCAGCCGTGCCTCCTTTGTGTTTGTTTGTTTCCCCCTGTTCTGTGTTGTTTGTATGTGCGTGGTGGGCTGTCACATCACTGGCTTCCCGGCTCAACCCTCCACTGACCTGCCTGCAAATCAGTGTGCACCCTCCCCGACTACACACCTGTCTTTCCAATCAAGCCATTTACAACGACAATATCAACAGAGGCTCCACAACCTCTCCGCCGAATCGTCAAGTTCGCGTTCTCGGTCTCCCATCGGTCAGCGCACCGTAGTGTGGGAAGTTGCATTAGGTAACGCGAGATAGCGCTGATACTTGCGCATTAGTTTCTGTTATGGATCAGTATCAACAGTCCTGCCGGTAACGTTACTATATATTATCATGCTTTAGCGTTAGTTATAGCCCTGATATATGATAAGTAACTTCACAAATGTTGTGATGTGACGTTTAGCTAACATTCTGACTAGCTAACGCCGGTCACTTCACCAAGATCAGCTGCCCAGTTCTCCACTGGTTCTCCTCACACCACAGCTCAATTTCTCTCCGATGGCCGTTATTTCTTCTAATCCTTGGCTGCTCCTGGTCTCTTGGACGCCTAGCAGGCTCATAATTATAAGGTTGTGGTCCGTCATATGCATTTGAATATTCATGTTCAACTTCTTCTGTGTCTTCTGTGTCGAAACTAGCATTGGGATCCATGTTTATTAATACGTTACACCGGCCGCTCTCCCCCTTGTTTCCCCCATGTTACGTCACACACGGGAGGTCACGTGCCGAGGCTTTTTTATGCGGAAGTGAACATTTCTTACAAAAACGACGCCAGATGTCACTGTAGTGTATATTTCTGTATATTTTTTTGAAAATCTAGTGTATTCACAATCATTTTCCTACACATTTATTCACAGTTGTCTTTAACCTGGAAGTTGCTCTTTAACATCAAGAGGTCTTTCCTCCTAACATTAACAGTAAGTAGTGGTGAAAAGTAGGTCCTTGTTTTGTAAATGGATCTGTGGCACACTGTGGTTTACCTCAATGTAGTTGGTGAGCCAGTAGAAGTCTGGGTCAGTGTTTTCCACGGTGAAGAGCACGTTGCCTCTGGGAACGATCCTTCCCTCAGGGACAGCTTTGATCCGGATAGGAAGACGCCCATTGTGTTTCTGACGTAGTAACAAGCACATTTACTTCAGGATGGATGTATAGAGATCAATCTTCAGCTGAAAATATTTTTGTATTAAACTGTCCTTTTTCAGAATGATTGATTGATTCATGTAATCATAACGTTCATTTTCCCACTGGAAAATATAGAGCTATTCTAATTACTTGATATACTGTTGGATGTTTTATCTGCAGTATCTTTAGAGCAGAGATCCACTGAGGAGGGTGCACTGCAGTATAGTAGTAATATATCCATGAATGGTTTTTCACTTTGAATAAGGTTAATCTCTGGCATGATGATTTCAGTGCTTCAGTAAATGTATATATAAATGTACTTACTTTGTTACATTTCACCACTAAAGGGTAAGGGTAGGGTTTCTGCTGGGTAAGGGTGTGATTAATAACTATGGACAACTGAGGGCAAGCAATTATAACTTAAGTTCCAGTAACCACTGTATGTGTTGAAAATATGCTGTGTGGGCAACTGTAGCTCAGGGGGGTTAGTCCGCTGATCTGCAAATCATGGGGTCAGCAGTTAGATCCCACCTTCTGACAACATGTGTCCTCAGGCATACAATTGCAAGCCCAAATTGCGGCCGTAGGGGCAGTCTACAGTATTAAGTGTATTTAAGTTGCTTTGGATAAAAGCGTCAGTTGATAATAATGTAATGTAATGTGTGTGAACCATGGCTGTCAGCCACTTTCATAGTAACCGTGTTATAGATGCAATACGCCACTTCCAGTGATTTACAGTGATTTTCAAAAGCTCTGCGTCATGCCTAGCAGCGCCTCTTAGCTGTTGTAAAGTCACTGTATATCATAGCTTCTTGTGGCTTATTGCTTACTTTAAGTATACCTCAAGGACTTTCCTCCAGCTCTCCTCATCAAACACAGACTGTTTGAAGTGCATCTGGTAGAACAGCTTGGCTTCTTGAATCTTCTCCTCTGTGATGACTTGGCCTGAATAGAACACACCAGGTTACTACAACCTCGCTCACATGCAGGAAATAGAAAGGATTTACTCAACATCCAGAACACTGGCAAGCCTGCGCTACAATCACCTTATATGAAAGTGTACCATTTCATCTCCTGTTTGTTTCCACATAAGGTTGGATTTATTCAAACATCGGGTACCACTTTACAAGAAGACTACCCTTACAAAGGGTTTACCAATAGTTTGTAATTCATTTATTAATTAGGTTGTGAACACTTTATAAATCATGAACAAGCTTTTATAAGACATGAGATAAACAGGGCAACTGTGACCGGCTGCTTGCCAAATAGTGAGCCCACATATCTGTGCTGCTAAGCCTGATATTGGCTACTTAGCTTACTTCGTCTTCTTCATCAGCCAGCATCCTTGGTATCTGTTGCTCACTGAGTTGATTCTCGCTAAGTAGCCAATATAAGGCTTAGTCATCTTGCCAAATAGTGAGCCTGTGTTGATGTATGAAAACTATTCTAGAACTGCTTTATAAATGTACTGATTGAGAATTATAAGCCGAAGGTCATTTCTCCGGACTCAAAAGGTGACAAAACATTGAAAGACCCAAACAAGAGAACTTCTATCTTTTCCCCCTTTTCTTCGTCTTTCACTTTACGCCCCTGTCCTAACTTCGTCCTTCTTACATAAGAACTTCGATTAACTCGGTCACTGACTGACCAACAACGACAACTAATATAGTTAATCTCGACATTCGTCGTGTTTCTCTCCTGAACATGAACTTTGACAGTAGTATACAAGGGTGCACCTAGGTCCTTTGTACAAAGTGACATGTGCCGTGCGTTCTGTAGTGCATGTCGACCACTACACGTATGACCCTCAAAATAAACTAAGTAAAATGGTTGATGGTGAGACCACACTATTTCATAAATAATCATAAAGCATATTATTCCCAAGTAATGTACTCTGAATGTAACGTGCACAAAGTTTCAGTAAAGTTATACGAACTGTACAGACAAAACCACAGGGAAGGTCTAAGGTGGTGAATGTTCGTCATAAGGAGGGTTTACAAGTCGTTTTAGATGAAGAATGAAACCTTACGTCCTGCGTTCTTTCCGAGTGTCAAGTCACTCCACACACAAGAAACGAAGTCATAGACGACTTCTTTATGGAAGATCATGCAAGTGTAGGAGGGGAAACTAGATTCTTTACTAGAACCTGTCTTGTTATATCCTTTCTTCTCTCTTAGACTATTTACTCACAAATTGTCTGTACTCTGTTACGTCACGGAGCACAAATTTGACGACCGTCAAATGTTACACACCATTGGTGAAATGTATTCCTGATGGGAATATTTCCTGAAGTATTTCCAAGATCTAATCCAATACTTAATTCCAACATTTGTGAAATAATTAG